ACCTCCATGTTCTTATATAGAGGATAATCAGAAGTACCAAATGCAATAACGCTAAGCATACTACTATTATCATGGGATGTCAAATGTGGTTATGTATTCCAGTGGCTGTAGGGGACCATCCGAATGGGACTCCCACGGATGGTGGTCGCCATCCTTTTTCACCCTTTCAAGGACATTGTGGATTTCTTCCGCATCATAATAGACAGTGATCAGGGTCCTTAGTCCATTTTCTTTTCCTGAAACTTTGACAGCAAAGTAAGAACATAGTGAAACATTATATGGCCCTTCCCATCTCAGTCCTGCTTTAGATTTTCAAGAAAATATCTTTATTAGAACTTTATCCCCCGGCTGTATATCATGTACCTGTATTTCAGGTGGCGCTGACTGGTACCATTGAGCATATTTTCTATGGTCTTCAAACTGTTTCTGCATACTTAAAACATTCTGGGTTAGTTGTTCATCTCCATCCAACAGGCTGGTCTTATCTGGGATGTAAGTTCCTGGTATAGCTAAATGTCTCCCAAAGAGAATTTCCGCCTGCGTTAGTCCTATGGGTTGTTGCGGGGCATTTCAGACACCCCATAGGACTAAGTGCAATGTGTCCAGCCACTTCAACCCAGTATTCACGGAAATTTTTGCTATCTTATCTTTTAAGGTTCTGTTTAATCTTTCTACCTGTCCTGAGGATTGTGGGCAATAGGGAGTGTGCAAATTACCCTCTATACCTAGTGACTTACGTAAGTGACTAATTATATTTGCTGTAAAATGGCACCTCTGATTCAATTGATTCAGGAACTCCATATCTGGGTATAATGTCCTTTGATAACACTTTTACTACTCCTCCTGTGTCTGCTTTTCTCATGTGGAAAGATTCTACCCAACCTGACAATTGATCTACTATAACTAGTAAGTGTTTGTACCCACTGGTGGAGGGCATATCTGTGTAATCTATTTGCAATCGCTGAAAAGGAAGGTAGGCCCATGGTCATTCCCTGACCTCTGAGCTCAGCTTAATACTGGAAAACTTTTGGCAGGTTGGGCAGCTACCAGTGATCCTTTTCGCAGCCGCATAAGCTCCAGGTGCTGACCATATCTTTTACACCTGGTTAGCCACTGCCTCTGCTCCTCCATGAGCTTTGTTGTGAAACCACCCGGCCACAGTAATTAAATATTTCTTTGACAACACTGGTTTTCCTCCAATTGCCCATATTCTACTGTCATCTTGTTTTGCTTCCCACTTTTCCCATTGTTTCTTTTCCTCTGCTGAAAGGTCCTTTTCATACCCACTGCCCTTCCCTTAGGATAAACCCTAAATATTTAACTTCCTTCTGACACAGAAGAAGTTTGGCTGGAGACACACAATGACCTTTCTCTGCTAGGACAGCATGTAAGATGTACAGTATCTTTAATACAGGCATCCTCATCTTTGCTCACTATCAGCAAATCATCTACCTATTGTACAAGAGTGGATTTGCCCAGTAGTCTTATATCACTCAAATAATTTTTCAATATTTGTAAAAAAATGTAGGAGACCCCGCAAACCCCTGTGGGAGTCGTGTCCAGGTTAATTGTTGTCCTTTCCTCATAAAGGCAAAGGAAAGTTGGCTGTCCTCATCTAAAGGGATGCTAAAGAAGGCAGCTGTTAAATCAATCACTGTAAAATATCTTGCCCAGTGTGGTATTTGTAAAAGTATGATAGAGGGATCAGGCACTACTGGATGAGGAGGCACTACGTACTGATTAATTACCCGTAGGTCTTGTACAAAACAGTATTCCGGGTCTCCATCTTCATCTAATCTATTCTTTTTTACAGGGAGTATAGGAGTATTACACAGTGACACACACACTTTCAAAATTCCTTGGGCTAAATACGGGTCTATTTGGTTTTGAATGCTCTTCTCAGCTTCTTGGGGAATTGGATACTGCTTCACAGCCAGAGGGGGGTCTCCTCCCTTTGTTTTTGTGTTTATGGGTTGAGCTGAAAGTAGTTATCCTACATCCATGCTAGCCTTATTCCACAGCTTTGTTGGTATGGATTTCAACACTTCTGGTATTTTTAACTCATTATTTGGGCTTCCTGTGATGGCAGTCATTCCCATGATTATTAAATCTATTCCTTCAGGTGACAAGTGTAATTCTACATCTAAAGGCTGCAAGAGATCTCTCCCTAACAGGCACACTGGGGAGTCCTCCGCCAATACAAATTGCCCCCATATACTCATTTCCTATGGTTACCAATAGGGGTTTGCTCAAAATCTGTTCTCTTTGTCCTGTGACTCCATGTATTAAAATTCTATCTGTGGTCCAAGACCCTCTCGGCGTAAAATTCAAGAGGGATAATGTGGCTCCTGTGTCTACCAAGAATTCAACTTCATGACCTTCAACTTTACTATAATATGTCCCTGCTGATCTAATTGCGTTACCCACATACTAAAAATTTCTAATCTTTCTGCTTCCCCTGCAAGATCCGCAGGGTCTCTTTCCTCCAGTCATTGCAATTGCGAATCTTCCCAGGGCAATTCTCCCCGGTGATAATTCTCTTCTTTTGTCTTTTCCCATGACCAGAGTGGGCATTCTCACTGTATATGCCCTAAATTCCCACAGTAATAACACTGCTGTCCAACATTCCTTCCCAGTCCCCTTTCTTCTTTTCCTGGTCTTAGCTCAGACCTTGTATCCGGTGGCCTTCTCCCTCAGCCCCTGTCCCTCACTTGCAAATTCCTTTCTTTAACCTGCTCAGCTTTTTGCTTTTCCTCGCGCCCATCATATACAAACACAGCAATACTCAAAATCTTTTACAAATTCTCTCCCTACCACCCGGGCATGTGTTCTTTGAAGTAATTCTGTATGTTGAGGCCCACCTGATCCACAGAAATGCTAATTGCAAGCGCGTCATCAAAATTCTGTTGTGTCATTCCTCCATGTTTTAACAGAACTTGTCAGAGTCATCCCCCAAAATCGCTAGGATGTTCATCAGGTTATTGCCTGCACCCTCGTACTTTAGCCCACTTCACCCCTAATTCTCCACATGCCCTAATGGCTTCTACCAAGCCCAGAGCCCTGTCTGCCAAACGGCTCAATCCCTGCCTGATTATAGTCCCAATTTGGATCATTTGCCGGCCAGGGGTTTCTGTTTCTTCCTGCCTGCTGTGCCAGTTCTGCATCCTTATTACTTTCTCCCTTTCTTCGGGGTGAAAGAGCTCCCTTAATAGCATTTGAGTGTCACTCCAATTTGGATTATACCCTGTACATATATTTGAGAATAGTTGGGCACACCTCTCAGCATCCTCCCTTAGGCGGGGCATCTTACTTCCCCACAACGCTAAGTCACTAGGTTTCCAAGGCTGGCCTCTATAGAAGGTTAATACTGGCGCTGTCTCTGCTGGGGCCCCAGGTTGCATAGCAGCAGGATTAGGAATGTGAGTTATAGGAAAGAGCCTGGCAGCCAGAGGGTTAACAGAAGGAGAATCAGAAGGCAGAGGCACAGGTAAGGTGGGGATAAACTACTCATGCTGTCCTCTGGTGCTGCAGGAGGACACAGAGAAATAAATAACAACACACAGGCAGGAAGACAAACTCTGCTGTTTATTGCTGGTGTTACCCAGGGAAGGGGGAATCGCCCGCAATCAAGGCCAAGCCCGGCTGTGTTTCCCAAGGTCCAGGGCAGCGGCGACTCCTGCCCGCAGCAGCTCCGCAGGGTGCAGCGAGGACGGTGGCATCTGCAGTGGGTTGGGAGAGGAGAGTCAGGGAGCAGGGCCATGCCTTGCTACACCGCGTGCATGCGTCTGTCTGTCCCCCAGTCCTGCCTCACCGGACCCAGGTGACAGGCCCTGAGCGGATCCCCTGCCCTGCAAGAAGTTCCCAGCAACATTTTGCTGCGGGACATGTCACCCTTTCGCCTGGCCATGGCTGTTTCGGCACCGCAGCAGCCCTGTGTCTTAACTCAGGTGTCAGTGGAGACTCTGGGAACCCACTTGGCTCTGTGCAGCAGTGACTTTATAAACCAGTGCCAGCACGACGAGCTTACCAGAATATGCCCAGCTCCTTCCTCCGGTTGATGTCTCTCTTCAGCTGGCACAGCGCGCACAGGGGGCAGCACATGGTGGAGGTGAAATCACCCAGAATGGAGCCCTGCAGAGCAAGGGGCGCTGTATGAATAACCCTTTCCCACGTCAGCTTTTAAGTCTCCCTATTTTTTATCGTCAACACCCCTAGGCAGCTCACCCCTGGCCCCGCAGCACACTGCCGCTCATGCCCAGCGAGGACTGGGATGAGGCGGGATGCAATGGGATTAACCCCGTCTCACAGCAGGGATGCAGGTGTGTCCCTGGCTCCCTGCCTGCGGGGCTGCCCGTGCAACTCCCCACCGCTGCTCTTCCCCTCGGGCACCCCTTCCTCCTTCCCTGAGCCCACACCCCAGCACCCAGCTCAGGGCTGTTGCTGCCAGCGGGGTAGGCCCCGCGGTTGGGCACTGACCGGGATGTTGTATCTGGTGCGGTAGAGGGTCCTCATGGCCACGCTGGCCCCGCACAGGCAGCACTCGTTCATGTCCCCGGCCACTTGGCAGGAGAGGCAGGGAAAGCAGAAGGCTCCGCAAATACCTGCGGGACAGCGAGACATGGGCTTGGCTGAGGGGTGCAAGGAAAGAGGAAAGGGGGGAAAGCTGGCTGGGGATGCGGCCATGGGAGCCGTGGCTCCTGACCTCAGACGAGAGCTGCTCCGCTGCAGTGGAGTTTGCAGCAGGGGCGATGCCACAGAAGGAGTGGGGAAAACAGAAACACGTGGTGAGCCAGCGCTAGGAATGAGGGGTACGTATGTACTCACACACGCCGCAGTCAGAGCAGCAGTCCAGCAGCCCCGACAGCCACTCGCCCGTCTGCGGGGCAGTCAAAAACTGGGGCTGGACTGTGATCACATGGTGAGAGGCCATTGCCAGCACGGGGCCAGGTCCCTCCAGGCAGTTTGTGGTCTGGAAGGAAAAGCCGTCAGAGAAAGATGCCGCAGGTGTTTCTGAAGTGGGTGCCTTGCTCAGGCTGCTGCTTTCAAAGATGGAGAGGGCAGCACAGGTCCCCAAGGGGTCCCCACTGCCAGGGCACCGCCACCTCCACCGCAAAGTGGGGGGCACAGCTCTGCCAGGTGCTGCCACTGTCCTTTACAACAAAGCCCTCCCCAAAACCAGCCCCCCACCAAAGGCAGCAACACCTTGTCCCCCTGCCTATGCAAGTAAAATGCCTTTGTAAAAACAGAGGTCCTTCTGCTTCAGAACATCAGTGCTTCAACCCTTCAACCCTGTCTTCTCATACCCAGTTCATCTTTCATCATTAAAATGGTGAAATCAGCTTAAAACATATATATATATTTTTTTTTAACGCTCACAGTGTCCCAAAGCTACTACAGCTTGGTTCTAGCTTTCCCAAGCTCTCAATAGTCACCCAAATCTTTGCTTTGTTCTCTGAGCATCTCAGCCTGTTTGCCTTCCCCTCTCCCTTCCTTCTTCACCTGCTTTCTTAGCAGGCTTCAAGGCAATGGGTTTTCCTTGTCCCTTTCCATCACCCTAAGCCCAGTCACCAGTTCCCACCCCTCCTCCACTTGTCTGTCTGTGCCAGTGCCTCATCCTCCTCTTCCTTGGTTCCCTGGAGCCACCGTGGCCCCTGGAGCCCTGCTCCTGCCCATCCTTCCCCAGTGAGGGGCTGCAGCCTCTGAGAGCAGCAGAGCTCCTGCTCTGCAGCACCATCCCCAAACCCACCTGACCCATGTAACAACTCCACCTCCAACTGTGGCCCCTTCCCTCCCCGCTGCCCCCTGCAAGGCATGACCACCCTCTGCCATTATCACTTCAGCTTTGGAGCTTTAATTTAAAAAAAAAAAAAAAATAGAGGATGCTCCCATAGGAAGTTTCATACAGACACACTCCCTGCCCTGTGCCCAAGCTCGGCACTGCTTTGTTAAGCACCATGGTGATGAGATGCAAAGGCTCCCATTCTTTTACAGCTACAAGGGCTCTCTCCCGCTCCCTGTGCATAGTCACACATCCTCAGCAAAGAAATCATTACCGGGAAAGCAGCCTGAACTTTGGACCCCATAACCACGGGCTGCTGCTCCTTTGCCCAGGAAGGCTCCCAGGGTGGCTCCCCATGAGGCCCTTTCCAGCCACCACATCCCCGCACGGCCCACGGGCATTTCCACGATGGGCGTTACGGGTGTTTAACAGAGCACCTTCGGACAGTTCGTGCCCCGCCTGCCCCTGCCCAGCTTTGACATACTTGTCCTGCCTGCGCGGGCAGCACCGCTGCCTGCCTGGGTGAGGGCCAGGGCGGGGGTGCCCGCTGAGCAGCACCTCCCTGCCCCGCAGCTCACTGCCCTTGTGTGACAAAGGAGCGCCTGAGTTTCAGGGTGCTGAGAGGAGCCAAAAGAAAAACAGGGGAACCATTTACGTTTTGAAGCAAGGGATGATGGCATTAATCCCTGCAAATTCTTTTAAAACTCTATAAAGGGAATGGAATTACTTTCATGGTAGAATGACACATCTATACAGAATTTAAGCATTAAACGCAAATCTCCAGGAATACAGTGGAATAAATATATTACTACGCCCAGCACTCAGGTGATGCCATGGAGTGCATTACCCGCGGCCGACACCGGAGAGATAGAGGCTGCGGCACTGCATTTGTATTGACTATGGTCAACAGGCCAAAAACCCACCCAAAAAGGGGTGGGTGGCTCTACCGGCAGCTCCTGTGGCTCCCCATCATTTACAGACTGGCCCAGACACATCTCTGCTGTCAGACACAGCCTGTTGCTGTACGGCTGACCATTGTCCCCTGGTAGTACACAGAGAGGAAAAGGGGTGTTGAATTATGCCGTAAAAGGGAAGAAAGCTTGTAAAAAGTCTCCACGCGATTTGCTCGTGACTTTTTGCAGCTTTCTGCAGGCAGCAGAAGCGTAGCTGGGCTGACCCTAGCTGAGACACCAGTACCTGCTCCCATTAGGTGACGAGTGGCCTCGAAGGGCGACCCGACAGCTGGTGGGATTGCCTCAGCCACGGCCCCCGCCGAGGGTTAGAAGACA